TTTGCAAAATCACATAAACAATGGCATATTTTTCGTTTATATTGCATTTTCACTTTGCTTCTGGCTTTGCTTTGTCATTGGGTTTGTTGCCCGTCTGCCCTGTTTTTGTTATTAGTTATTCAATTATGCGCTTTCTTTTTTCCATATTTATTCCATGATTTTGTTTTGTTTTCTCACACACGAGCACTCACACACTCACCTCACACCACACTCACTCACTTTAAGGGGGCTGGGCATTGGTATTGATTGCCCCAGACTCGACTCGCTCTCATTTGATTTATGTTTTCTACTAATTTAATGCAGAAACTCTTCTAATTACCGATAAACTCCGAATGTTCTCTCTTCTGAATCACTGCTTGCCCCACCCAGAAGCAAACCCAGCAGAAAAGAAAGTCACGGGAGTCAATAACACCTTTGTTTTTGCAGTTTTTCTCTCGCCTTTTTTTTTTTGATAACACCAATGCACACACACACAAACACACATTGGGCCAGGCCATTCACTTAAAAACACACACAAGAACACGTCTCATGTTTATTCAGATTTAGCATTGGTCACCGGGTCTGATGCTTTATTCGATCTCTACCTTTTTGCCCCTTGAGCAATGGGAATTTCCTTTTCTTTGGATTGTAAATAAAGTTTAGTTTTGAACATGCTCCAGGCTGCAGCAGTGTGACCGCGGAACTATCGATAAAACATACCGACACAACCCCGGAAATATACCGAAATATACTTGCATTTTCAGAATATACTGTATACTGTATACTGTATACTGTATACTGTATACTGTAATCTTAAATTATTTTCTTCGATTTGTATGTTCCATTTGACAATACTAACTAGTTAGGAGTATCCGCGCTAAAAATATAACTTTATCCGATTTATAAATCAATTCTCCACAAGATTGGCTAGTTTTCACGACTTTCTTTTCTTGGAATGTTTCCAAATTAAGTTTAAAACTAGAAAGTTCAGACAACAAAAATAGCATAAAACTTTACGTGAGTGGGATCGGAATTCAACGGCATTTGACAATTTGTTGCTTGTATGGGCATTTGTATATTAGTTAATATTAAAATTTCATTTTCAAAGCTTCTCTCAAATAATTATAATGCCTTTATCCTAGACTGACGTGTTTTATCTAGATATATTCTCGGTGCCTGCATAATTTTTTTGAGATGGCTTACCAACAGAGATAGCATGTTTTTGCATTGATTGGAGCCAACATTTCTTCACTACGAGGATATCCATCCCTCCAATGGTACCAATGTTGAGGAACAGTGCTGGTCCATACGAATTATGTTGCCAATGTTAAAATACGTAAGTTGGGATGGAATAAAGACTCATTGTTGCGATGACCATTCCCATGATGCAAGAGAGAAATATCCCTTCAAAAGAGAGAGAAAACCCCTACAAAAAAGAGAGAAACTCCCCGAGGGACATTTGAAAACCATGCGAATGGGACTTTGGATACCCTATATTATTGAATACACCCTAAAAATGGAATTAAATAGACCGATGAAATTCATACAATATATCAAAAACATACAACGAACTCAATTTCGCGGTCAAAATCCTCTGAAAAGTATATTTTATACCTTAAATGCCATATACCCTGGGCTGCAGCGACTTACCAATAAAATACCACCTAACGCTCAGAAATATACCGCAATATATTTTTTCAATTCTCATCAAAATACATACATACATCCTAATGAACGAACATTTCGCGACATGTCTCGACAGCAGTGTTGCCGAGTCACCTTTTTTTTCCGAAGATCTAGCTTTTTTCAATGTCGAATGTCGGACTACAGAATCGTATGTACACGTTAGTGTACTAACTAACGTATGGAATATTGAACATCTAGAATATTATGATAATAATATTTAAGGCTATTTGCGACTGACGATGACGATAGAAAGGAATCGATATTTGTTAGTGGTGAGGCAACTAACGATAATTGGAACTCAAAAATACTAGCTTAGCGATATTTTACATGTCTCTTACATGAACTTCTACACGATGAAATGAAATTGATATAAGTGCTTCCCCGTTGCAGAATGTTTCATTTTAAAATTTATTTTGCATCACCATATAACCATGGGAACAATTTTTTTTATTGGCAGCTTCTTTGCATTTTTGCACCATCGAAGCCAACCCTGCACTTGTTAATCAAATATCGCATGAACGCGATAGTTGAACAATGTTTTTACCGATTTTTTAACCATCCCCAACTAGTACTGAAAAAAAAGTGAAGCGTAAAAAACCAAAATTTATGGAAAATAACTTTTCAACATTATTTTATGTGCAACAAAGCCGTGGGAATCGAAATACGTTTACTAATTGGCACGCGCGTAGCGATCTCGCAGTGAATTTTGTGTGTGATATCTGTGTGTGGCGGCCGTCTTGCCTTGTTTCCGTCCTGGTCGCACAGACCAACCGAACAACAGCAGCAGCAGTCTAGGAGCCCAGTCGAGCCGCAACAACAACTACAACAACAATACATACGCACAATATAATATAAGCGACGTTGTCGCGCTGCGTCACCGTCAGCAGTGTGTCTGTCTCTGTCGTCTCGGCCGTCGTCGTCTTTCTCCGCTCTCCTCTCTCTGCTCTTCCTTTTTACATTTGCAAAGACACCAAATAAAAAAAGAAAACAGAAAATAAAGCAAATAAAAAGCAAAAGTCTGTTGCTTTTTTTGCCCAAAAACAGAGGTCGGTATAAAAAAAGGAGAATTGTTTTTAGTTTTTCCATCAATGATTTGTGCTTGTGGTCGTGGATAATGGTCGGTTGGGGGGAGGGAAGCAGCAGCAGCAACATTTATGCCAAATTCCAATAAACAGCCGTGGCCTTTGTTATGTGTGTGTGCGTTACAGACATCAATGCAAATACATATGTATGAATGTATATATGCTGTATGTTTGTGTGCAATGTGTACCCCCCACACACCTCTTAATTCACCATAATTAAAGTGTTTGGAAAGTGGAAAGGGGGTCGGGTGCCATGGACAGTGCCATATCGATGGAATATCCTTCGGAAAAAGGATGCTGCTGTGTTAATTAACGTCAATTAGCCACAATTTAGAAGCAACTTGGAATAATACGTTATGTGGAATACAACCATCATTGACATAAATCCATTTGGGAACGGTATCAAATATCTTTCTCCATCTGCAGCTTTAAACAGAGAAATATTAATGGCAGCATTTTTTTTTCCACACTCACACCCCATCGAATTATGTAGTAATGATTACGGGATTACTGGTCACACAGTTAGAAGTGGATCCGACATATGTATGTATGTAGCATGTGCGGATCGAGAATAGATTTAGCTTAAGGATCCACTTAATACCCTGCGATGTGCACTATCAAGTGCTACATTTGTAGGGTATTCCTCTCTTTCAACTCGATCGACTCTTAAGTGGTCACACGCACATACAATCGGTACACAACACATGTGTACATTTCCAAGAAATCTGCATTCTCATACCATTACCCCCTCGCACCACCAGCTACCGTGTGAAATGTGATGGTAATCTAATGTACAATTTGATAACTGTATTCGTGTCTAGACATGTTGCGCTGCTTGATCACTTGCTGCACCTCCTACCCCTGCCCATACTCGAGCCCCCTCCCCTACCTTTCACTCTCTGGCCGGCCTGGCACTTTGCAACACTCATACATCAGTGTACATACGTATGTATGAGTGTGTCGATGTGTGATGTGCATTTTGTCGATTTTTATTTTATGTACATTTGTTGTTTACAAATTTAGATAGAGAAAATTTGTACAGCCGGCAGCGACGGCGGCGACCATCCATCCATCCCTCCCTACGTCTGTCTGTCTGTCACTCGCCCTGTCCCTGTCCCCCTTCGACGTTGACATTTTCGCAAATTGTAAATGAATATGCTTTTGCACTTGTGTATGTGAGTGAGTGCGTACGGTATGTGTGTGTTTGCATTCGTAAATGTGTGTAAGTTCATGAACAGCACGTCGCAGTCGTAGTCCCAATACCCTTTCAAAACAAAGTATGACGTGTTCTTGATTATGTATGTCATGCAGAAGGGAAATACCATGATTATCATTCTATATATCCATATCTATTCGTATTTAGGGCATCAATGATACCTCCAAATAATTTAACCCCAATCGGTTCACTTTAGCCTACAACTGCAATAAGCGCATTCACTCTTCAAGGGTATTCCATGCTTCGGCCCCTTCCTGTATAGCCTTCCCTTCTTGTTTTGATTTAATTTCGCGGTAAATGCAATCGCGAACAATTTTTGCTCGGTACTCGCTGGCGGTATCGCTGCGTAACATGTCGGGGAATTTCGTTTGAAGCCTGAACGTACCAAGCAGCCAAAGCACAAGCAACAGCAACAATTGCGACAAACCCAATCGCGACGCCAGTGCTGGCGCCTACAGCGCCTCGATGTGCCCCCGCCATGCCCCCAGGGCACCAAAAGCCACATCTGCATGTGGGGCAATGACTAAGAGGCGGCCAGCAAATCCCTTTGGGAGCGGAAATGCCGTAGATATTTTGGACGATCCAATCCAATACTCTTTGTTGCTGTTGTTGGTTCGTCAAATCAGCTGCAATTGTTGCAGCTGCTGACGCAAGCGCCAACAGAACGACAAATGCAACAACAATTGTGCGGATTTTGCCATAAACATGCAAAATGATAATACCAATTGTTTATGCACATGCCCCACACCGAAGATCCGTAATAAATGATGGAGTCCGGGGGCACGTGGCATGAGGGGGTGGCTGAAGGGGCGTGACAATCGGTATAAGTGTGCGATAAGCAATAAGTTGGCTCCTCTCTCACTCTCTGCCGTCCTGCTGCACTCGATCTTGAGAGTTGCATTCGAGCGAGAAGCATATTCAATCTAACGAGTATCTGTAGTTTATCTTTAGCGAATAGTTCCCCTGCTGTAACAAGTTGTCTCTTATAATCTGTTACACTTTCTTTTCTTTTAATAGCCCCAATAGGATCTTTGATTTTTGATTGCGTTTCGGAACAGCCTCAACACGAATTACCTACCATTTGCCCTGCAGAGGCGATCGACTGTGGTTGCCAGCGCCGCTGCAACAGGATCAGCCTCCTCGTCCACGCCCGGCCAGCAGTTTGACCTAAATTCAACCAACAACAACAGCAGTAGCAACACTAGCAGCAGCCTAGACAACATCTCGCGGATACAAGCATCCTGGCCAGACAGGAGCCAGCAGCAGCAGCAGCAGCAACGACAGCAGAATCAGCAAAAGCGTTTGGCCACTGACGGCAGCATGTCGATGAGCATCACCTTTGGCACCCCCAACACACCCAACATAAGCATGGATCTGGCTGCACGTTCCACACTGGTGAAGGAGGGCTGGCTGATGAAGCGAGGGGAGCACATAAAGACTTGGCGTCAGCGCTACTTTGTGCTCCGTTCTGACGGTAGTCTGATGGGATATCGCAGCAAGCCGGCGGACAGCGCCAGCACACAGACGTCGGAGCAGCTACTGAACAACTTTACAGTGCGCGGGTGTCAGATCATGAGCGTGGACAGACCCAAGCCCTTCACATTCATCATCCGCGGCCTGCAATGGACAACGGTGATTGAGCGCACCTTTGCCGTCGACACAGAAATGGAGCGCCAGCAGTGGACCGAGGCCATACGCAACGTGTCCAGTCGCCTGAGCGAAATGGGAGAGATGGCCATGTCGCCGTCAGTGCAGACTGACATGGCCGACGTGGACATGGCCGGCATTGCCGAGGTGGAACTCTCCGAGCAGTTCTCGGTGCAGGGCACCACCTGCAACAGCAGCGGAGTCAAGAAAGTGGTAAGTATTCTATGGTAATTCTTTCATCCGTGGAGTGCGTGATTGAAAGCCTTATCTCGTTGTAGACTTTGGAGAACTTTGAGTTCCTCAAGGTGCTCGGCAAGGGCACCTTCGGCAAGGTTATCCTGTGCCGTGAGAAGGCCACTGCCAAGCTGTATGCGATCAAGATTCTCAAGAAGGAGGTCATCATCCAGAAGGATGAGGTGGCGCACACACTCACCGAGAGTCGTGTGCTCAAGTCCACCAATCATCCATTTCTTATTGTGAGTAACCTTCAAAGATGTTCGAGGTTTCCTTTAATATATATTCTCGTTTCCTTTGCAGTCTCTTAAATATTCATTTCAAACCAACGATCGCCTGTGCTTCGTCATGCAGTACGTGAACGGCGGGGAGCTCTTCTGGCATTTGAGCCACGAGCGCATCTTCACCGAGGACCGCACACGTTTCTATGGAGCCGAGATCATCTCGGCCCTGGGCTATCTCCACTCGCAGGGCATCATCTATCGCGACTTGAAGCTGGAGAATCTTTTGCTGGACAAAGATGGCCACATCAAGGTCGCCGATTTTGGCCTGTGCAAGGAGGACATCACCTATGGCCGCACAACGAAAACATTTTGCGGCACACCGGAATATTTGGCCCCGGAAGTATTAGACGATACTGACTATGGACAGGCGGTGGATTGGTGGGGCACAGGCGTCGTCATGTATGAAATGGTAAGTGAAGTCATAATCTGACATCATTCTTTGCTGATGCCTTTTAACCTTAACATTAACTTCTGCAGATTTGCGGACGCCTACCGTTTTACAATCGCGATCATGATGTGCTTTTTACATTGATATTGGCAGAAGAGGTGAAATTCCCGCGTAATATCACCGATGAGGCGAAAAACCTGCTGTCTGGACTGCTGGCCAAGGATCCCAAGAAGCGTTTGGGTGGCGGCCAGGATGATGTCAAGGCAATACAAGATCATCCCTTTTTTGCGAGTATTAATTGGACAGATCTGGTGCTAAAGAAGGTGCGAAATAAATGCGGGACATACATATGAAGGTCTAATCTATTTAATTTGGTATTCTTATGTGCAGATACCGCCGCCCTTTAAGCCTCAGGTAACATCCGATACGGATACGCGTTACTTTGACAAGGAGTTTACTGGAGAGAGCGTGGAGTTGACGCCGCCGGATCCCACGGGACCGCTGGGCTCCATAGCCGAAGAGCCGCTATTCCCGCAGGTACGAGGATTGGAGGGAAGAATCCTTATTTCTATAACTACATTTCTTTATTTTGCACTTTCAGTTCAGTTACCAGGGAGATATGGCTTCCACATTGGGCACCTCGTCGCACATTAGTACTTCCACAAGTCTCGCATCGATGCAATAGAACAACAGCAGCAACAAGAAGAGTTAAGCAACAACGTAACGTAGCGTAATGTAACGTAACGCAACGTGCTTGCACACACACCCACACCCCACACATCATGTTCTGCTTTCATCACCTCTATAAACTATATACCTATACCTACTATAGCATATAGCATTGGGAAAAATGAAATGAAAACAAAACAAGAAAATATTAAATAATAATAATAATAATTATGTAATTACACAGAAGAAAATGTCAAAAAGGCAAAAGGCTTTTCTTGCGACACAAAACAGAAATAATAAGGGAATTCAATTGATAGTAGCTTATTTTTGCATTCATAATATGAAAAGGGAGGGCAAAGGCAAAGGAAGGAAGCAATCGAAGCAACAGATCGTAGACCGTCGAAGCAGAGGAAATAATTTACCACATATGATTACACATATACATATATCTATATATATATCTATATACATACTTATACATACATCTAATAATTCAACACTGGGGGGACCGCCATCGCCCACCCAGCGTGCTGGGTGGACGGGGGTCTGGAGTGATTAGTTAATTAGTTACGACAACAACAAGCAAAAGAAAAGGAAAACCATCTGAACAGCACTTATAGGATATAGCGAACATTTAACTGAACAGCAACAAAAATCGAAATACACACACACACACACACACTCTACATACATACATACCCACTCGTATCTATACATTATTTATACTCCAAAGAAGCAAGAAACCACACAATAATTACGAGTTAAATATAATGTTAAAAATTGCCTCTAAAGTGCTGTGCTTCATGCAAAACAAAAAACTCTCCACAACAAAACACAGAACAGAGAACAGAAGAGCAAGGATAAATGGATAAAAATCAATTCAATGGATAAATTGCAGTTTGCAGCAACAATAACCACACTTGACGCCATTTTTTATTCTAATTTTTTACCACAACAAAATATATTTGTACATAAAAAACCTTGACAAAAATTACGAAAAGTGTCGCGTGGAAAATGGTTAAACCTTTGACACCCCCAAACAAAAATATATCCTTGTATAATTCAAAATTCATTCTTTGTCATTTAATTATTGGCATTGCAAAAAGTTCACAATGTAAAAAAAGGAAATGTTTTGTATTTGTAGAGCGATTTAGAAGCAAAAATACAAAACCCAAAAGAAAATGAAAATCAACCACAACAACAGACTTACACATAGTTCCACGAGGGAAAACTAAAAGGAAAAATGATATAAAAAGGAAAAACCCTAAAAAAAGAATTTTTGATATTTTTATATGCGCAATAAAAAAAAACAACAAAAGAAAAACTAAGAAAAAAAAAACAAAAAAAAAAAAAAAAAAAAAAAAAAAAAAAAAAAAAAAAAAAAAAAAAAAAAAAAAAAAAAAAAAAAAAAAAAAAAAAAAAAAAAAAAAAAAACAAAACAAAATATAGTTTTATATTTCAAAAAGAAAAAAAAAAAAAATATGAAAAGCAAAGCAAATTTTGTAAATAAAAAAAAATAAATAATAAAAGAAATCAAGTTCGGGCATTTCATCAACAGAAAGAAACCAATACAAGAAAAACGAAAGCATAATCTCTCTTCTATAGTATGTTAAACGAAAACAAAACCCTATCAATCGATGCAAACAATAACCAAGAAAAACTGAAAACTAAAAACTGAAAACTGAAAACAGAGAACGAAATGAAGAAAGCTAAGCGAAAATGAAACGATATGATGCCAAAGAAGCGGCAGAGTTATTAGCAAGGGGAACTCGAAGAGTGGAGAGAGAGAACCCATAGGTCGGACAGAGGACCAGTCTTGTGTTAGGACTTGTGATGCAGACGATGATGATGTTGATGATTCCGAAGGGCAGTAGGAGAACAGAGATAGACAGAGAGAGACAGAGAGAGAGAGCGAGTGATATCACAGCTTGGCGTTTTTGGCCCGACATCTAGGCTAGCCAATATCAATCTCAGATCGATCAAGCAATACATAGACACAATATAGAACCCTCATAAGCATGGCTTACTAGACATACTAAAACCCAAGAAAACGACTCGTCGTCACGTAACAGAGACTACTCTTCGACTACTCCACCCTGTTGCCCAAAAAAACAAAACAAAAGAAAACCGAAATCCAAAATCCACTTTGCTAGCAACAACGTGGATAAGTGGAGGTAAGATATTGAAACATCTATCTATAGTGTAACCCATAACCGAATTGAAAGATGGCATTTCCCCAACAAAAAGGGAAATAATCTATAGAAATAGTTGACTAAGTTTACTGATTTTTGTAAGAGAACTTTTTTGATTTCGATTTATCAACAACACACACGAACTGCAAAAACTACAATGTGTTCTGAAAGGATGAATGGTATAGGAGGAAAACATGGTTTGAAAACTTGACTATATACATATGTGTTTAGGGAGATATATCCAGTCAGATCTTAGATCAAGTCGAGGGCAACTTGAGTTGTTTTTTGTATTGTAAAGAGGGAGCGAGGAGAGAGATGAGATGAGATGAGATGAGCGAGAGAGTGAGTGAAGAAGGAAATCCCCCCTAAATACCCAATCCCGAACCCAGAATATAACCGAAATATTGATTAGGTGTAATTTTTTGATAGGCGAATTCTTGCAGAGTTCGCACAGTTTTAAATACTAATAATAATAATATTTACTAAATAAAGATAAAACCTTAAGCTGATTTATTGAAGAGGAGGAGAAACGATAAGAAGAACGATTCAAGATCGTAAAATATATTATATATTATATTATATATTGAAGTGGACTAACGACAGCATCAACTGAGCAGCAACCATGTAGATAATTGTACGATCTGCAGAGTACTATAATGATAACGATTAATTTATACGCGCTTACGCATACCAACATGCATACATTGCGAGAATATATATTATACATATACATATACATATACATATATATATATATGTGTATACGTACATATATACGATAAAAGGTGTGTATGTATATTATACATGCATTCAAAAAACCAAGTTTATTATACAGTGAAAAACATTATAATAATAAAACATACATAAAACCAAATGAGGTTGTAGTTTTTGGAAGGGGGGAGAGGCATTTTGAACTACTCTCTGGATTTAACTTCGAAGTGAGCCAGTTAATAGATTATACAACTATTCTGCTGTAATTTCCAAAGGATTTGTTCCACAGTAAATCTATGTTAAGCTGCCACCTATAAGAGCTCCACAAGCACTTAAACCCACTCTTCTTCTCTACGGAAAAATTGGGTCAGGAAAACTATGCGAAAAGTCCACAAGTGGCAGGAAGGAAAAACTCACTGGACAAGCGCCAATGACCGACTTAAATATTCGGGAGCAGCTGAAGCTGGAGCTGGAGCTGGAGTTGGCCACCTCCTCTATTCCAAGTGCGTGCTAAGCCACAGTCGCAGTCCCAGTCCCAGTCCCAGTACCAGTCCCAGCTCCAGCTCCACTCATGGGATGTGGAGAACGCGAACAATGCGTTTTGTCCGATGATTAATTGCAACGCAATCTTGGAGGCCACGAGAGTCGAGAGCCGAGGCCGCCGCGCTGTCAGCTTTCCCCCGTCCAATAGTAGGTAGATGTACATACTGGAGTCTGGTGTATGTACTATACGTATATGTACGACTGCCTCTGTGAATGATATATAGACAGAATGTGTGTCGCGTATTAAGTTGAGACACAAAGCTATTAATTTTTAGCAAAACAAAACGGAGCCCAACGGATTCGAAGTTACATTTTTTGCGACCAGAGGTGCAACGAAAGCGAAAGTGAATCTGAATCACATTGAACTTGATTCGGATTTTTGGGTGTGGGGCTGCAAGTTGACAGATCTGGGTTGGGTTGCATCCTTAAGCTAATATTGCACTGGGTTATGACAGCAAGCCGCAGCATTGATGATGTGCTCAAGGGGTGGCCGGAGGAGAGGCCTAGCCCTAAGTGCTTAGGAAAAGTGCGATTTTTACTTTCCCTTTTTCGATGCGATGCGATGCGATGCGATGCGATGCTGAGCTGACGGATGAGACCACGACAAATGAAATGGCAAACACCAAATCCAAATGAAAGGCCCAAAGCCATTGGTTGCTTGGAGGAGAACGAGGCGAATTTTAAATGCTCTTAGGAAGAGATTTTGAATGAGATATTGGAAATATATAGCAGAATTCTCTGGGAATTTATAGAAATAAAAATGCCATAGCCATGGGCCATACCAACTACGAACGTTGGAACTAGAAGCATCTTATTGGATAATTAAGAATCTGCAGGACTAATGGTTTCCGATTGAATCTATGATTGCGATGAAGTGTAAAGATAATATTTGAGATGAAAGATCTTAAGTAAGATCTTAGATAAAGAATCTCTAGCTACAGCTTCAGTTTGTGTGGAGTCTTAACCTGCAGATCTTTACTGATCTCTACAATATTTGTGGCTATACCCTTTACGCTCTCATCAGTCTTTAGGGAAGTTTGACGACTGGCTCGTTGCGGCTCGTTTGCTTTGTTCGCCACGCGTGTTTTTCGCGCTTTTCATTTGCCAAGCGGAGATTTTCCTATTTTCACCTCTGGCAAAAGCCAAAGCCAAAGCCGAAGCCGATGCTCTGGGCTGTTGGCTGCCTTGGCTGTTGCTTTATAGTAATGTGAAAATTTCTTAAAACTAGAAAACTAACAAACAACTATTTGCTGGTGCAGCAATGGCAGCAATGGCAGAGGGGGGCAGCATTGTGAGTATGTGCTGGCACTTAACAACTCTGTGGCTACTCCATGGCCACTCGGGCAGCCGGCAGAAGAGTCTAGGAAAACAGCAGAAGAAAAGTGAAATACATCAAGGCACGTCACATCCATCAGACATTTATGAGCAGCACGAGAGCACGCCCCATCTCCCAGTTTCAGTTGCAGACCCAGACGAGACGAGATCGGAGCAGGCCTTAGAGGTCCACCAAAAACAGGCTTCCTTTCGGACTCTAAACTGCCAGTTCAGTTCAGTTGAGGCCAGACCAGACCAGACCAGACCAGACCCGACTAGACCCGGCCCAAAAGCCCAGCCAAAGCGTGGCTAATGAATTGAAATTGTTTAAAGAGCAGAAGTGGAATGGGTTGGGGACTGGTGGTGCCTTGGTCTAAGTGTCGTCGCCTTGCTGCAATAGAAAATTATTGAAAAACTTTCGTTTATTTAATTACACAG